AAGATTCCTATGGTGGGAAAATTTGGAACAAAAGGAAATAAGAAAATTTCGCCATTGCAGAGTAGTCTTTGGACTAAAATGCAGTCCGTTTCTTTTAGGAGCAGTGATCAACTCTCATTTAGACCAATGTGAACCTTCTTTGAAGGAAGTGGCTACAAAATTGAAAAATTCCTTCTATGTTGACAACTGTGTCACTTCAGTGAATGCGAATGAAGAAGCAGAATACTTTATTGCAAAATCAACTAAGTTAATGGCAAGTGCTAACTTTGACTTAAGAGGGTGGGAGCAAACAGAACTGAACAGTGAAAAATCTACAATGAGCAAACCATTGAAAGTACTTGGTCTTCTGTGGGATAAATATGAAGATCTTTTTGTTTGTGACATCCCTCATATCAACTTCTCTCAGTGACAAGTGACGAACGTACTATCAATTGTACAGAGTTTTTGACCCAATAGGTTTCACATGCCCTTTACTCTCCTTCCAAAGTTATACTTGCAAAAAAGCTGGGAAACTAAATTGAGCTGGGATGCAGAGCTACCTGAAGATATTAAAAGAAAATTCTTGAAGTGGGTCAAAGAATTGCCCTTGTTATCTTCTGTGAAAATTCCCAGACTACATTCATTGACAGAAGGACAATCTTTTAGTTTGCATACATTTGTCGATGCTTCACAGGGATCTTATGCAAGTGCAGTATATTTGAGAAGTCAAAATAAAGAAGTCAAAGTGACCCTAGTGCAAGCCAAAGCACGAGTGGCTCCCTTGAAAAAAATAAGTATACTACAACTTGAATTGCTTGCTTGTCTTATTGGGGTGCGATTAGCATCATTTGTCAAGAAGAACCTTAAGGTTGAAATTTCAAAGGAATATTACTGCACCGATTCGTCAACAGCACTGTTTTGGATAAAGAACGTATAAGTTTGGAGCACTTTTGTGAATAACAGAGTTTCAGAAATTAGAATCCTATCGGATCGTGAAAATTGGCATCATGTACCAGGTGCGGAAAACCCAGCCGATATGCCATTAAGAGGATGTTCTGTGATGAAACTCATTGAATCAAGATGGTGGCAGGGCCCACCTTAATTGGCACTGACGGAAGAATGGCCTCGTTCTATCCCAATCCATAATAAACAAGAGGTTAATACTGAAAAACGTAAAGCAGTTATAGTGTTGTTAAGCAATGTTAGCGATATGTCTTCACAATTCTTTGGCTATTTTTCAAAGTATAAGAAAATACTTAGAATGATTGGGTGGATACACAGATTCATAGGAAATACCCAAAAGAGGAAAGAAGAAAGAGAATCAGGAGAGTTAAAAGTTTATGAATTGATAAGGGCTGAGAAATCTATCGTGAAGATTATTCAACATGATTCTTTTCATCTGATGATATTAAGAAGCTGAAGCCAATAAGTGTGTTCAAAGATGACGAAGGCATTTTACGTGTCAAGTCTAGGTTGACTGAAAGGAAAGACCATCAAAATTTTATTTATCCGATGTTACTTCCGAAGAATCATAAGATTGTGGAGAAATTGATAATTGATAAACATCTCACCATATCTCATGCAGGAATTCGCGTACTGATGTCAACACTTAGAGAGACGTTTTGGATCCTGAAAAGTAGAGCTATGATTCGAAAAGCTTTATATGCATGTGTAAGGTGCAGAAGACATGGAGGTAAACGACTACAGACTGTGCCTGCTACTCTGCCAGAAAACAGAGTTAGAGAGACTCGTGTTTTCGAGATTGTCGGCGTTGATTTAGCTGGCCCATTAATTTTGAAGGATAAAAGGAAAGCTTGGATTTTACTTTTCACATGTGCTGTTTTCAGGGCGGTCCATTTGGAACTGATTTTGTCCCTTTCAACTCAAGGGATTTTTACTTGGCTCTTAGAAGATTTATTGCCTCGTAGAGGAAGGCCATCGATAATTTATACCGATATGGGAAGCAACTTTGTCGGATCCAATAATCTCTTGAGATCGATTAATTGGTAATACCATTGAGATAGAAGCCGCCACAAACAAGATCGAATTGGAAGTTCAGTCCACCCGCAGCACCATGGTGTGGCGGCTTTTGGGAACGACTTGTTCAAATGATTAAGAAGCTTTTGCGTCGAGTCCTAGGCCAGTCATGTCTGAATTATGAAGAATTGATGAGTGTGCTGTGCGACTGCGAAGCAACTGTGAATGCCAGACCACTCACTTATGTGTCAGAGGACTCTGATGATCTCATCCCTTTGACACCATCCGTGTTTTTAGGTGAAATTCCAGTCTTTGGAGTTTCTGACTTGGATCATCTTGATAAAGTTGATTTCAACAAGAGACTGAGACATTTACAGAATTTACGAGAGCTCTTGAGAAAGAGATTTAGAAATGAATATCTTGGCCTGCTAGTGCAACGTCCATCTACAGTGCCAATTTCTCAACAGATAAAAATCGGGGATGTAGTTCTTATCGAATGTGTTGACAAACGCAAGGTGTTGTTGCCTCTAGCAAAAGTAATTGAACTATATCCTGGAAAAGACGGCAACATTCGAGTAGTTCGTGTCAAAACCATGCCTGGAGAATTAGTTCGACAAATCCAGAGAACATTCCCTCTCGAAATACCTTCATCTTTGTCGGATGAGGCAAATGAAACTAAGACGCAGGGTGAAGACAGTTTAGTCTCAAAATTACCAAAAAATAATTCAGCTGCAGATTTATCAAAGGACATTAAGACTGTCGTGACTAGAAGTGGACGACAAATTAAAATTCCATCTAGATCTTGAACACTACTTGAGTTATTTTACAGTAGAAATTTAAAAACATAATTTTTTTCTTTTTTTTATTATTTAGCCTTAATATTTGTGTGGACAGTATTTTTTTATTATATTTTATTTTTATTGATTAAGTATATGTCATCAATCAAAAGGTGGGAGTATTGTTAGAACCCAGCCTCAGTTGTTATTTTTCTTTACATAGTTGTTATTTTTATCACTCAGTTGTTATTTTTATCACTGTAAGAGTGGCAACCATCTGATCTTTGTTGTAGTTTCTTGTCGTTCTACGAATTTCGAAAATAAATATGATGCTTTTGGAATTTTATATGTAAAGTTATTTTATTTTAAGTTTATTAGGAGAAAGGAGAACAGTTAGTTCTTGCAAATCTTGAACAGTATTACCTCACTGGCTATGTATAAAATACTTATGTATTACCCCACTGACTGTGTAAGTTTTTGATTCTCATGTGCCTGAAGTGGAGATGGAAGAAAGTGAAAATGCGACTATAAAGCTCGTAAAAGTGATAATGAAGTTAGAGAGACGCAGTTGGTGAGAGTTGAACCATCTGAAAGTGCATGTGATGCAGAGATGGGAGAAGCTGATATACAGCTGAGACAGTGCACTCCAGTATTGCAAGAAAATTCAACCACTTTGCAAACTATGTGTGCATCTTATACTAAAGATTTTGCAGACAAGGACTTGATTCTAAACTAGGATGCTTCTGTTCGTAAAGAATCAGGTTCCGCTCATGACTTTGATGCAGAACTTGAAGCTGGTTCCCAGGAAATGAAGGAAAATCTGCTTGTACCGTCTGCTAAAAATACCGAGATCAACTGTACGCAAGCTGCGAATGAACTACAGAGTGGTGAACGAACTGTTTTAGATCTTCCAGTGGATGAAAAGTCTGAAAGGACTAAATCTTCAGACTGTGATATGCAAAAACAAAAATGTGCCCGAGAACTGCAGTGGAAAATATTTGACCCGGGTATAACTTAATGAAAAGACTAAGACTAAAATTGTTATGTGCTTAATTTGTGTACATAACTTGTACATAGTGTAAATATTTGTTTCTTTAATTATGTTATTTGTTTGTTTTATAACGTGTTGTTTCTATTGAATTTGGCTTCTGAGCAAGGGTTGTACTGCTTGGGACGTGCAGTCCTTGGGAGGGGGCAGTGTTACGAAATGTACAGGCACGGTAAGATGGCTTCCCTGAAAAACAGTTTTAGGATTACCATAAAATGGCAAGGGAAGGCAGGGTTTCCACATTTGGCAAGAAATTGCCCATTTGGTGACATGCCATGGACGGATGGAGAACCTTCTGGAATGAATCCTTACCGGTTTAGCCCAGAATGTTCTCGAACACAAGCCAAGAGCTATAGAAACCTTGCCGGTCCGCAGTCAGTCAGTCTGTGAGCCTCGCCTAGCGAGCTGATAATCAGTCGGTGAGGTTAGGTTATTTCATTACGGCAAAGCCTCGAGGGCTATCAGCCTAAGGGGAAGGGATGCCTTCGTAGAGGACTTTTTAAGGAAAACCGGTTTGTATACACCTTACATATGGGGAAAACCACGAAAACACCCATGCAGCCAGGCCGTTCATGGGATTCGAACCTCGGACCGAACTAGCAGCGTGCAGTGACTTTACCGCTCGGCCGCTGGTGGGCTGTCAGTTAGTGAGAGTGTGCCTTATCAAGTACGAGATAGTCTCGAGTTAGTCAGTCCGTGTGGAGTCAATCGAGTTGACAGCCGGGCAGCGAGTGCCGAGTGGGTCATCGAGTACATCGGAAGAGTCTCTTAGTGCATCATCGAGAGAGCGTGTTGAGCTCCGGGAGTGACTGAACTGAAGAGTCGGGAGCCATGCTCTGTGTGTTGTCGAGTGCATCCCGATTTGTAGCATGGAGAGTCAAGAGTACGTGGAGTTCCGAGAATGACCGAGCAGAGTCGGGAGCTGTACTCTGGTGCTTTGCAGCGAAGCTGTCTTCACCATTATAGCCTGATAACCTGAAGGCTGTGTTGCTGATTGTGTCAGCGTGTATATAGTAGTTCTTCAACGACTGTAATGTGATTTTGGAGCTGTCCTGATTAGTACTGCCTAAATAAAGTGTTTTGTTACTTCAGCAAGTTCTGTTGTCATTATTCACTCCAAATCCTCATAAACACCGTATGAACGTGAAGGAAGAAAATAGCGTAACAACTGGTGTCAGAAAAAAAAAAAAATAACACTATTTTTAAAAGAAATAATTTACCAAGAGAATGTAGATAGGCATTCAAAGAGTCTTTTGCTGTGAGATTTAATTCTGAGTAGTAGTACTTTATATCAGGAACCTGCAAATATATAATATTTAAAGATTAGGATTTTGAAACAAAATGTAAAATTACAATACTTGAAGAAAATTAATCAATTCTGCTGTTTAACATATTGACAGCACTATATATAAATGAGGCATATTAACATTTTGAATGAAACAAAGCTTTGTATATGACTAAGAAATTAAATAAATATAATTCATAACATGTTAAACAGAACTGAATGAGTTTTAAAAAATCTTATGCTCAGAAATTACAAATGATCTCTTGAATTATAGTAACACTTTCATTAAATCAAAAATTTTTATAGGTCAAAGTGAATATTGAAATGTAGAATTTGAAATTATAGCAAACTTTTTTCCATAAGTTGAATTTTTAATTACTGAAAATTTTTTTCTGTTCTGCTCATTTATAGCTTATCAGATTGCAGGAATAACCTGAAAGATTAAATTTTGAAAGCAATAATATGTTATTTTAGAAGATAGAGCTTCCGATGTAATAAAATCTGTTCTGTCCACATTGAAAATTTTCCACACTGATCTGAAAATCACATGAAAGCATACTTGGCATCATTTATGCAGAGTTACACGAAAAATAATCTTGAACAAGTTGGATAGCAGGAAATGGAATTATGGTCATTAAAATAAAAATCACAGATTTTGATGAACATAAAAAGATGCAATTAAATTTAATTCAAATTTGAAAGAAAAAGCTTTTCACAGATAATTGTAACAAAAAAAGAGGGGGCAGATACAGACCAAAAGTGTTTAAACTTAAATTTCCTGAGTTCTCTTTTTCAGAAATAAAACTTTTAGTCTTCAGTATAAAATTTAAAATTCTTTTAACTGCCATGATGTATAAAAATGTTAAGGAGTATTAAAAATTCTCAAAAATTCAGATCTGATATAGGGTTTTTAAGGAATGAATTCTGAATGCTCTAAAATTCCAAGTTACTTGATAAATGAATATTGGTGATTTGGCCTGAGTTTGGACACTAATGAATATCAGTGGCTTGGCCTAGGTTCGAATCCAGGTGAATCTGCTGGCTGCAAGATTGGTTTTCATGGTTTTCCCATCTATATCGTCAATACAAGCAAGTTTCGCTTAAAAATCATCCATGAATATAACGTATTTTATGAAAGATTATTATAAAAGAAAAAAAATTATGAAAGATTGATGAAAAATGTAAGTAAAAATGTAGTAAGAATGTCTATACACAGCAAGAGCTTTTACTAATTAAATTGCAGAATAACTACAGAAAGCGAAGACCAAATACTGACTGAATGGAAAACTTTCCACTTGATAGAGAAAGATAGGAACTTTCTTACCAGAAAAAGACTTCAGATAAGTTACAGCAGGAAAGTAGATTTATTATTATTATTATTAAGGATTACTGAACTGTTGTTGTTAAAATACAAAAAAAAAATTAATTTAACATATTATCACACTAAACGTAAATAACTTATATTATTACTAATATTATTACACTAAACGCAAATATATACACAGAAGTTATTTAGTAAATACACTGTAAGGTTTATCCTAAGTTTTTAACAGTTATCTTAGTTAAAGCTACTTTCCTATCCCTCGTAATTTCAGCTTACAATTTCCTACCAGAATGTGTTTTTAGAATAGCAGGTAATGCAAATGAGTAAGAGCGGTACTTAAGTCAAAGTTCCACTGACTTTGTTAGGCCCATATCACACACACACATTCGTTTCACAGGAACAACTGTTTCAGACAATTTTTCTGCCTGGTTTACTATTGAAAGAAAGACGCACAATTTTTCCTTCCTTTCAAGAAAAATTGCAAGTTGTTCATTTTCAACTAATTGGCTATCGGCTTCAAATACTATTAGCTTGTTTGTAATGGAGACCCAGTTTCCCCCGTGTTTCCAAGGTGATCTGTGGTGATTGGCTGTAGTGACAAAATAGAAGAATTGCTCCAAACAGTTGTTCTTACGAAACAAACGAATGTGTGATAGCAGCCTTAGAGCCAGAGATTCTGACTGGCACAGGTTGCCAACTAGCCACACTCTCTCTGTAAGCTATTACTACGCTCGGCAATTCATAGCTTCACCAGTTTAGTTGATATTTTGGGGCCAACTACTTAGAATTTTGATAGCTTTGGCTATATCTTTTTAGTTAAATTTTATTCTTAGTACTCTTAAGTTCAAGCCAAGCTTTTCTGTATGCTTTGAGAAAGCAGCCAACTGTTAAATTCTTATTTTGAGAAATAAAGGGTAATTAACCCTTCTTGAGTTTACGTCTCTGTTTCCGAACTAAAGCGATTATTTGCTTACCAGTTCACGAGGTTCCTACACACTTAGCTGTTAGATAAAGTTGCAACCCCACATTTGCCACCGAACTATCCCATTAAAGAACGAAAAGTTTTTGTTGACCCTTCCAACCTTTCAAGTCCCTCAACCTTCAGCAAACCTGATGGAGGAATTCGGATTCATCGTGAAGACGATGCGAGCGGCGATTAAGCTAGCTACAACATTCGCCAACAAAGGCTCCGTGATGACTTTCCTCAAGCAGCTGGAATTACATTTTATGTTATATCCAGTGAACCAGCTGCAGAAAATTACCATTGCTAATATGAACCTAAAAGGCCAAGCTCTCAGCTGGTACAAAGGAATTGGCAAGTTTTTGCTGGGGGATCCAGGTTCGGAAAATTATACTCGGGAAAATTTTAAAACAGCGCTATTGAAAGCATTCTCAGTTGTCATAGACCGTACGAAGCTTGAAGAGCAATTGTTTAGCAAGTATCAAACCAATTTTGAAGATTTAACGAATTTTATCTTTAGAAAAATCCATTTTCAATTTACTATATGGAAAAAGACAAGCTTATTAAAATAATATTGCCAAAAATTTCAGATGAACCGCAGAAAATAGGCTTGCAGATCATTTTCGCCAGTATTCAAGGTTTTCTCCATAGAAGAAACCTCAAGGTCTTCCCCATAGAAGAAACTTCTAGGTCATACGAATTCGTATCGGCAAGAGAGGGACGGTGAAAATTCAGATAACAGAAAGACTGATCAGTCTAAGGCATTCGGAAATAAAAAGCAACAGAACCAAGGGGGCAGAAACGAACAAGTTAAACTAACCATGGTGGCCAAACAGGGGGCACAGTCACCATGTGCAAAAAGTCTCTCGGAAATACAGTTGAACATGGTAGTTGTACAAAATTTGGCCTTGCCAGAGATACATATTTTACTGAACAATGTTTCTACTACCGCCCATCTCGATACAGAAGCTCAGTGTAGCTTTCTTTGGCAGAATGTTTTTTAAAAAGCATTTTCGTCGCTATAGACTGTTTAGAATAATGGGATAAAGTGTAATTGCCGCCCAAGGGAAGCAATGCGTGCATGGGAAAAGTGGGGTTGCACATTCAAATAAAGAACGAAATGAAGAACATGAATTTTTGGATAGTAAAGGTTTTGTTTACTTCAATTATCTTGGGAGTCAATTTCTTATGTGCAGCTAGCACAAATCTTAATTTCAACAATTCTACTTTACAGGTACACATGGACGCTATTGACGAAGAGGTAGTAATGCCAAGATGTGGAGGTGGACCTCAAGCATCTTGAAGAAGTCGAAAGAAAATTGAAATCCTGGTAAGAAGCTTTTATAAATTATTTGATAAAAAACCTGGCTTCTGCCAGCTGTCTCAATGAGTTAGGTTTTACCCATAGCATAGACATGGGTAATGGCCCCTCCAGTCTGGTCTACACTGAAGTGACAAAAGTCATAGGATAGCAATATGAAAATATACAGATGGCAGTAGTATCACGTAGAAAATGTATAAATGCGAAGTGCTTTGGCAGGGCTTTCATTTGTGTTCAAGTTATTCATGTGAAGAGGCTTTGACGTGATTATGGCCGCACGACGAGAATTAACAGACTTAGAACACGAAATGGTAGTTGGAGATAGACGCATGGGTCATTCCATTTCGGATATCGTTAGGGAATTCAACATTCCGAGATCCACAATATTAAGAGTGTGCTGAGAGTATCTCATTTCAGGCATAACATCCCACCATGGACAGTGCAGTGGCCGACCACCTGCACTTAACGACCGAGACCAGCGACGTCTGCGTAGAGTTCTCAATGTTCACGGACAAGCAACACTGCGTCAAATAACTGCAGAAATCAATGTGAGACGTACAAGGGACATGTCCAATAGGACAGTGCGGCGAAATTTGTCTTCCTTGGGCTATGCAGGCAGAAGACCAACTCGAGTGCCTTTACTGACAGCACGACACCGCCTGCAGCGACTCCAGTGGGCTCGTGAGCATATCGGTTGGTCCCTAAACGAATGGAAAACCGTGGCTTGGTCAGATGAGTCACGATATCAGTTGGTAAGAGCTGATGGTACGGTTCGAGTGTGGCGTAGACCCCACGAAGCCATAGACCCAAGTTGTCAACAAGGCACTGTTCAAGCTGGTGGTGGTTCCATAATGGTCTGGGCTGCTTTTACATGGCATGGACTCAGTCCTCTGGTGCAACTGAACCAATCATTGACTGGAAATGGATACCTTCAGCTACTTGGAGATCACTTACAGCCATTCATGGACTTCACGTACTCAAACAATGATGGGACTTTTATGGATGACAATGCGCCATGTCACCGGGCCACAATTGTTCGCGATTGGTTAGAAGAACATTGTGGACAATTCCAGCGAATGATCTGGCCACCTAGATCGCCCAACATTAATCCCATCGAACATTTATGGGACATCATCGAGAGATCAGTTCATGCCCAAAACCCTGCACCGTTAACACTTTCACAATTATGGACGTCTATAGAGGCTGCATGGCTCATTATTCCTCCAGGGGACTTCCAACGACTTGTTGAGTCCATGCCATGCCGAGTTGCTGCACTTTGCCGGGCAAAATGAGGACCGACAAAATATTAGGAGACATCCCATGACTTTTGTCACTTCAGTGTAAGCTGGTATTATAGGTATGATCGCGTAAAGGAAGATATCCTGGGAAAGCACATAAAAAAATACTT